AAAAAGTCGTTCCAACCCCGAGAAAAAACACCTTTTTAGATTTGCATATTTGACTAAAAAAAGACGTTTTAAAGACGCATTTTTACATCTTTTCATGACAAGATTAAGATAAAAAAGAAGTCTTTTTGATGTCGAAAAAAGATGTCTTTTAGATTTGCATAATCGATTAATAAAAGACGTCTTAAAGACATCGTAAATAAGACTTTTAAAGACGTCTTTTCAACGTCTTTTTTCCCACTGGAATGTCTGCGTCAAAGCCTTCTTATGTTGCAACATTTGAGAGGACATTATTATCTACTATTTGAGCCAAACACCCTAACTTATATCTTTTATGGCGAATCACGCTGATATACTCTTACGCAAGAGGTAATATAAGAGACACGACTTAAATGAATCATTTTTTGACATTAATCCTAAATACTATTGACAAACATATCTGCATGAATCAGTTATGTGATTTGAATCTGATAATATTAGTACGCTAATTTAATAGTAGTAATAATCGATTTACGTCATTTTCTAGGCTTTTCTATTTTAAAGTAGTTTCTAGACTTTTCTATACGCAGTTTTTTTTTTATCTTATTTACTAACAACCCGTATTACGGGACGCTTACTGCTAGTATAAATAATTTGACTATTGGTTTATAATGATAATTAAGTTTTTAACAAACAAAGTATTCAAACGTCAATGCAAAGCACAATGCAAAAAACAAATATCCAAAACATTTATCTAAAGACAGAATGTATAATATATTTTCTTTTGATTATTGAATACAAAATATCAGATAGTATTTATGTTTAAAAAAGTTAGGTTAACCAAATGTGACCTAAGCATTTTTATAAACACAGCTAGGTTTTCATCATAAATAAAAAAATAAACTAACAACAGCAAAAACTATAAATAAACAAACAAACAGACAAAACAAAAAAATTAAACGAAGTAAATAAGTATATATGTTAGTGGTCAAAAGAAAGTGTGAACTGATTTGAAAATGAAAGTGTAAAGTGAATAAAACATCCAAAAATATCCCCTTGAAAGAAAATACTGCAACTTACGTAACTAGCGAAATACGGGGTATTGCGAGATAAAAGATATAGCCAATGTTTAAAAAAACGCAGCGGTGAGGCAGTGAGGCCAACGCTTTTTTAAACCTTGGCTATTGTCAAGTTTTAAAATTTTTTGCAAAAAGCGTGCGCCTTACCTCCTCACTGCTACGGTTTGGATATAAGAAGCGGAAATTCTCATTGATCCCATTGGTCCCGATGCAAAGCGACAAAAATTAAAAAATTGTTTAATTAGTTGAATTTAAATTTACAAATGGCAAAGTTTGATTTATAATTTATTTAAAATTAGTTTTAAATCAGCCCGGATTAATATTTTTATTTTCGGACATTACATACATACACACATACATAAGTACATACATACATACACACATACATACATACATACATACATACATACATACATACATACATACATACATACATACATACATACATACATACATACATACATACATACATACATACATACATACATACATACATATATACATACAAATTTTACCCTTTTTGACTATTTAGTCTACATTTGCCGACTAAATAGTCAAAAAGGGTAAAATTTGCCAACTAATTAAACGAAAAAATCATTGATGAGGGGGTGTCACACCCCCACACACCCCCATCGCTCCAGCCTTGCATACATGCATAAATACATACATACATACATACATACATACATACATACACACATACATACATACATGCATACATACATGCATACATACATACATACATACATACATACATACATACATACATACATACATACATACATACATACATACATACATACATACATACATACATACATACATACATACATACATACATACATACATACATACATACATAAATACATACATACATACATACATACATACATACATACATACATACATACATACATACATACATACATACATACATACATACATACATACATACATACATACATACATACATACATACATACATACATAAATACATACATACATACATACATACATACATACACACATACATAAGTACATACATACATACATACATACATACATACATACATACATACATACATACATACATACATACATACATACATACATACATACATACATAAAAACATACATACAATCTCTTTTATTAAAAGTATGTTTTTGTTTTGTATATGCTAAGTTTTCTCTATATAACAAAATACTACAGTTTCATCAAGCTTTTTTTTATAAGAAACCAGTCTAATATGGGTTTATTATTTTAGTCTTTTGGGTCTAGTAATGGGTTTATTATTATAGTTTAAAAAAATTTCAAGAGTTTTTTAAGTTTATTAATATAACACTACTGTAACAAAAAAATTGAATTTTTTTGTTACGGTAGTGTTATTACACAAAATTTACACAAAAAATGATTATTTTTTGTGTAATTTTTTTCAATTTTTTACATATTGGTAGTACATATAAAACATAAAAAAGTACAGCAAAATCTGTCGCCTCGATTTCGAAATATTGCTTTTAGAAAGTTACAACACACCAGCATATATAAAATAGGACAAATGCATTAGAAAACAAATTATTTAACACAAATTATTCTATGTAAGTTATGGTAAAGTATTGGGCGTAAAACAATAAATAAAAACAATTAATAAAAACAATAAATAAAAACAATAAAAAAACATTTAAAGTAAGACTATAAAAAATACTCTTTAGATTTTATGAACCTATTTTTTTTTTTTTTTTTTTTATGTATATATATAATACAAGATTACAAGTTAATGATATAAAAATCACAAAAAGTTACAAGTTAATGATACAAAAATCACTTTTATGTGTACAATTCTCTAAAATCTTGAGCAAAAACTTTTTTTACAATTTATTTGATCCAACTACAAAATAATATTTATTTTAGTTCTTCAAACCTTCGTAACTTGTTTGTATTAATAAACTGCTCGTTACATGGCATAAAAGGTCATAGTTTCAACTAACCCTTTAAGCTTTTTCTTTGTCTGTCTTTTCTTTTTTCTTTAAGTCTGGGTCTCATTTTTTGGGCATTAAATTACAAGATTAAACTCGCTAACAAAACGGTTAAAAGATTCTACAGCTCATTTAAAATCTTTGTTGTTTGATTTTTTATAAACAAATTCAGTTTCACTGTTGCCATCAAATGATTGTGATTTCAGAAGCAGTAGGCTAAACATCTTGACGATCAGATAAACTGGTAAACTCACTTAAGGGATTTACAGCTGGCACAGTCAAAATAATTTGCTTTCTGTTTTAACAACGGTTTCTCAATTAAACAAAAATAGCAAACACCATATTTATAACTAGAGTAGCCAGTCAAAATAGCAGGTCAAAATAGCAGGATAGCAAAATGGCAATTTGACTTCATTATTTTCATTATAGCGGTATAAATTCCTGACAAATGTTAAACAAAAAATAATTGGCGTAAACTTTTCGACATCAGAACTACTGCTTTTGAAACGCCAACTAAACGAAAACTAAACAAACAAAAAAATAACCTAATTTAGTCTAATGAAACGACAATAATATCGTTTAAAAATAAAAATCAAACCGAAATTTAAATAAGAATGTCAAATTTTTTTTTCATTTTCTATAACGTCTTTAATTTTTCTTTTTTCTTTTAAAGTTGTAAAATAGCTATACCTAATTCAAACCTTATGGGATTTGGTAGTTGTTGCGAAGACATTTCTAAAACAATTAAATTAAGCGTTTGAAAATGCAGAAACTAGCTTATTTTTACCAAACTCATACAAAGGTTTTTGAAACTGCTAGGTCAACAAAACTCCACTATTCAAAAGAGAGATTCAAAAGATGATGGAGAGAGAGAGAGAGAGAAAGAAAGAAAGAAAGAGAGAGACATTGTAGTGTTGCACGCCATAATGCATTGTTCTATCTCTTTAGTAAACAAATTTAAAAATACTAGCTTATTTCATATCCAATTTACCATGGTGTTGCATATGATTGCAATCATATTTGCCAATAGCAGAAATAAACGCAAAGTTTTATTGTTTTTCAAATAGAGATTGAAAATATTGATCGATAAATGAAAGAGATGCAATAATTTATTGCGATGTTTTTTTTGAATAGTTAATGAATATAAATTTATAAAACTAGAATCAGGCAAAAAAAACAAAAAAACATTCAATCATTTTGTTCTCAAATAAAACATATTCTACTGTGGATCCGGTATCAAACAGTGGAACTGACAGGTATCTTTTAACCCTACGTGTTCCGGATGTTTCTCCACATCAAAACAGTAAGTTAGGCAAAGCATTCTACTTAGATCATGATGTTTGGCGTGGTAGCTCCCAAAAACCTCAAACTCTATGTGCTTCCCAGGAAACGTGGCAGCTTCAAGAGCAGTAACAATTTTGTTTTCATTCAGGATTGTGCACCCTGTCATATAGCATAACTCGTGACAAAACATAGCTCTCATAAAACATATTTTAATGGCCCAATATATAATTTGTGATTGCACAGTTTTAAGATATATAAAATCAAATGCATGTTGTCCAATGTTTATCTAGTTTTATTGTTGTGTTATTCTTAAAAAAAACTTAAATAATTGGTAAATTTTTTTCTAAAATATTTTTAATTTGATTTCATTGATTAATAGTTCTCAGATTTTAAATGCATTTCTTTGACTGTTAGGGAAAAAAAGGAAAGAAAATTTGTTACATTCCTCTTCAATTACTTTAAATCTTGTTT